TGCCCTGAACGGAGACGATTTCATCACTCGAATTTCAAGCAACAAACCAACATATCTACCACCCTTATAGATTATTAAACGATGCTGATAATAAATTCTCATTATCTTTATCGATCACACATTGTTTCGTCCCATTCGAGTTGCTGGAAGACAAAAAACTGGAGAAGATTACGCTTTCCCCGCCCTTTTTTGGAACCTTGCAAAGATTTCCCTTTTTTCCGGTTTCCCTTCACAATTGTACGTTATATTTTCTTTTTCAGGAGATGCACGATTGGCGCGAGGGCGGGCGCCAAATTGTTGCCGGTGGCTCTGCCGGGCTCGTCGAAGTCTGCATAATGCACCCGCTTGACTTGATCAAGACGCGGCTACAACTTGGATCCCACGATCGCGGGATGGTCGACCTCGTCGGCAAGACGTTTCGGACGGAAGGCGTCGCCGGCTTCTACAAGGGCATTCTGCCGCCGATGCTCGCCGAGACGCCGAAGCGTGCAACCAAGTTCTTTACGTTTGAACAGTACAAAAGCCTGTTAAGTGGTCCGACGACATCGCCAGTCATTAGTCTAAGCCTGGCTGGGCTCTGCTCAGGGATGACCGAGGCTGTCGTGGTGTGCCCATTCGAATTGGTCAAGGTCCGGTTGCAATCCATGCGGAATATGGGCCCCAAGGAAATCCCGTCAGCCACACAATTGGCACGCACCATCATCAACTCCGAGGGATACGGAACGAGCGGCATCTTTCGTGGACTTACGGCGACAATGGCAAGAAACGGCACGTGGAATATGGTCTACTTTGGTCTCTATCACAACATGAAGTCCTATGCCCCCGATGCGCAGGGCAGCCCCTCACTGAATCTGTGCTTCCGGGTCTTACTCGGATTTCTGGCCGGGTCGTTGGCTTCAGTCGTCAACATACCAACTGATGTGGCAAAAAGCCGAATCCAAGGCCCACAACCTGACCCGACAACTCGAAAGTACCACGGATGTCTACAATCGATAGCCCTTGTTTATAGGGAAGAAGGAATTCGGGCGCTGTACAAAGGGCTTCTCCCCCAAGATTTTGCGTCTGGGCCCGGGTGGCGCTATTATGCTAGTGGTCTATGATGAAGTTTATAACTATCTCAAATGGCTTTGATAATTTTTTTGTAATTTTCTGATTTGCTACGTCGGTGTGTGATATTAGTGTGGTATTGGCTAGCTGCTATTTCTGCGCTCCCTCCAACATCTGTCTAGACTCTCCGCACTCTCACTCTCTCTCGGTTTCGCCCTTGCCGTTTTCATAGCGTCATTCGATTGCGGAAATTATCGTTTGCTTTCATTCCTGCTCTAAAGTTAATTTTTGAAGATTTAGAATGTCCGGCCAAGACGAACTCGAGAATTTTAAACTCCAGCTTGAGCAGGTATCTTGGTTTTCTGATTCCGGTAATTAGAATTTAGTGGAAGCGGCTCTACTAAAAGATCGGAACAACCCGGAACTCCTAAAACTGAAGGGTGACCTGCAGGAAGTTATCAACCTACAGGTACATTGGATATCTGGATTGCAAACTATTTTTAGCTCGAAATTATTGCTAACGATGCACGAAATGGTGATGGCGACGGTTCGGTGCAATGGAAGGCAAGTTCTAACTGTTTATAACCATTTTCATTAGGTCGGAGATCGTGTTCAAGCCAAGGGAAATAATGGCCAGTACTATCATGCAATCATTGACGGAATTTCTGGAACGACAGCGTCTGTGACCTTCCTAGGTTTGAGTTTTTCTCTATTGTTTGTAAATTTATTTTAGGCAATAAGCAACAAATTCTCGCGGACTTGAACTCGTTGAAGATGGCGCCGGTGCAGGAAAAGGGCGTTTTCGAAGATAAAAGGAAAGGAGGCCTGCCGGGTGGAAGTGGCCGCAATTTTCTAAATAAAACGCAGCAGGTAGGGTACATACTGTTTTTCACACATTGTTTAGGAAGAACGAGAAAGAAAGCGGCTGAAGTCTCAGAAGAAGGAGATGAAGCGGAAAGAACTGGACAATGCCAAGGTGATTTTAGTAATCAACTCTTGATCAACTTCTAATTTTTATCTATTGCCGTATTATCTCCAATCTAAGCCCCGAATCACCCTTTCAGGTGTCGAAAATATAAGAGACCCTTGGCTTAAATTGGAGGAAATACAGTATAAACAAAAAAGACGTTCCGATGCACCTTACTAAAACTCGCTGGCTTCTGCCTCGAAAGCCATACTAATTCACGCTTCCAGGAATCCGAGAAAAACGACTGGAAGAAGTTCAACACCAAGGCGAACAACAAAAGAATGAAGGGAATCAAGAAGGTTGCCGTATCTGGTGCCGCTCCTGATGGACCTTCTGGAGGCGTCAAACGTGATCCGAAAGAAGAGGTAAGCATTTTGCTGCTTCTAAAAAAATGTATAGTTGGCCAACCGCTCGGATCCTCATCTCTTCCACCGATCAGCCCACGGAAACATGTACGCATTGTTCTAAGTTGTATACCTTACAGTACCACCACGTTTTTGTTCATCTTTGATGTCTTTACTCGGTATTTAATCTATTTTCCGGAATAAACGTTTTGAAATACACGTCATCAAAGGGACCTGGCTTTAATTGCACGACCATTGTTTGTTGGTCTAGATGGGTTATTGCATTCTGTCATTTTGCGGAAGATAAGTCGTTTTATATAGATGACGGAAGTGTCGCCTTGGGTCCAAGCATACAAGCGGCATCCTCCGGCCATTGATGAAGTCAAAATCGATCTTGGTCAATCTCCGTCGTTTGCACGCTCTTGGGACAATTCTCTTCTGGTCGTTGCCACGTACCAACTGATTGAAGGCTCCACACGAGAAGGGTCATTCCGGTTCTTCAAGCATGGTGAAGCGAAGAGGTATGGCGGGATTTAGATTTATTTCGTCGGCTCTGGTTCAGTAATGGGGAAGTCACGCTGACTCACCTATTCGGCTCTTTGAAGTCCCCCGTCAAAGAACCAGAACCATTTCACCAAATGTTACGATTGCTAATTTGCTTTCTGTCATTTTTCAGTAGCTTTTATTTAGCTGATCTCAAACCTATATTTTCGATCATTAGGTAGAACCGCAGATTGGAATTTGATGATTGCAATAGGAAAACATTGGATTCTGCTAGTGGACTTGTTTTTTTCAACGCTAGAACCAGATACAATCATTAGCAAATGTTCAAAATTGATAGCACGGTTCGGCTAAATGAAATTTGGCGCCATTAATTTCGGCGAAATGAACACTCACGGACTAGCGCTCATTCAATGTGATCTCGGTTTAGCTTGGACGTATCGACTTCCCGGCTGGTGTGCACCGTTTCAAGTTTGCCGAACAAGGCGCCCTGCTCTATGCCGCGCTATCAGATGGGTCGTTGGCGGAAATTTCACTCAAGGATCGCTCGTTGAAAAGCAAAACGCAGATTACCACAGGTAGTCTAGGTTTTGTTTTGCTGCTAAATGCGAGTTTTAGAGGGCGATGACGTCGGTAGAATGATTCTGGATGTGTCCCCGAGCGGTGACTATGTGGCCGTGTCGCATGGCGATGGCCAGTTGAGCCTCCTCGACGGGAGTACGAAGGCTATCATACGCTCGTGGAAGGGTCATCATTCGCGATATACGGAAAATTGCGAGGTATCACACAATCGGAATAGAAAGGCGTACCGGACTGTTAGTGGGGGGGGGGAGTAGCAACGGGGGCCAAATTCTACATTTGCGCCTACACGAGCATTCTAGTAGTGTATTTTTGGTGTCTGAGTAGTTTTTAAATGCTAGGATATTACAAGAATTCAAAAAATATGAAACCTTTTAATTTTGTAGATTATTTTTCGTAGATTTTGACCAAAAAGTAAAATGTGTGTGTGTAAAAATTGGTTCCTCCGCGTTGACATTCCCCCCGCGCTAACAGTCCAGTATCCATAATGTAATGGACGGGTCATCTCTTAAAAACCTGATTCTAGGTCTGGTCTTGCGCGCACGTCGACTCGAATACCTTGGCATCCGGCGGCGAAGATGCGCATTTTTGTCTGTGGGATACGAGAACAACGGATCGTATCAGTCGCATCAAGGTGTCGACAGATGGTTCTGGCTGTACTTTCGTAGGCCCCAGGTGTGTTTTCGTGTTTTGGTGCAGATTTTCCTAGTTCAGCTCCGATGGAGGCAATGATAGCCAAGTGCTAACGGGAAGCTACGATCAGTTCATTCGTGTTTACGATCAACGGAACCCGTCGCAGGCTGTCAATGAGAGAATGGTAAATATATACCGTATGCAATAGATGAGAGTTTTCAGTTGGCGGGCGGCGTTTGGAACATTGAACAACATCCGGAATGTATGGTCGTGTCCTGCATGTATGGCGGCTGGGCAATGTTGGATCGGATCTTGGAGCCATTTTACTGCGAAAGAAAGCCTGGTGCGGTCTCTTTTAGTTGATTCTGCATTCTGAAGAAGTCGCATTTTGTGAACCTGCTGATCGAGGGCAGTCTTCGTGAAATTTTTTTGCAAGGCGAAGAAGTGGAGATCGACGCTTGAAAAACTTCTCGCAAATCGTCCTTCAGCCCTTTAAAAGACGGGATTTGTTCAGAATTTCAAGCCCAATCGAATAAAAAGTAATAATCCCCGATAACACCTAAAATCTGACTCCTGGCCACCAAATTAGGGGTATCACCGTCTCAGCACAATGTTCTTTAGGCGATGCTCTGCTCTATGGTGCGACAATTTGCGACCAAGGCTTGCGTATATTACCTTCAAAGACTCGACGTTGACGATGAAGCAAATAAGTTGATGAATGCTATCCCTCAACCTGTTCCGTTCGTTGTGATGTTCGTGCATGTTGTGCAGATCAGTTGTGAAGTCTCGTGCGGGTAAATAGATCACAGAATGCATAGCCAACACTTTATTAACAGGCATTAATGGGCCAATGACAGAGACATAATATGAGTTCGGTTTTTTTTGTTTTCATCGACTTGTGTAATTCTTCTTCCCCGGTGGGCTCTTCAGTGGCTGGTGGCCGGCAGCGTCTGCATCGCGTTCATGGCGTTGCGCAGGTCCGTGATCAGGGTGGCCGTGTCGCTCGCCGGCACCGTGCCCTTCTTCTAAAAAATGGTGGAACAGGCAGGCAAAGAATTGACAAACCGTGATGTATTCGACGCAGCTGAGGAACACCAATAGATATTGGCTGGTGCTCTGGACGGCGAGCGCTCGCTGGTCGCGCAGTGTTTGCAGCAACTGCTTCATGTCGATGCGCTTGCCGGCGTAAAGCCTGGAGAGGGCCCAGCTGGTGAGGATCAGGCTGCCGGTGCGGCCTATGCCCGCCGAGCAGTGCATCAACGTCTGTCCCGGATTGAGCACGTCACCGTCGGCGACGACGCGGAGAAGGCGGAGGATCTCCCGGTGGCCAGCCGGCACGCCCTTGTCCGGCCAATCGAGGCACTGGATGATGCTGAACAATCGATATGTTCAAGGAGGACAATGAAAACAGTACCGCAACATCCGACTGTTCGAGCAGCCGTTCGGCAGCAGCTCGATGGTCAGCGTGTTGAAGCCGCCCTTGTCCTCCTTCTTCTTGTTGTTGACGAACCAGCCGGACGGGTTCATGTGATCGCCGGGTTCGGTGGGCCAGTACGCCGAGCACTAGAAAAATTAATGTAAGGAATGCAAAATGTAAAAATAATCTTTTTCGACATTGGATATTTACCTTGATCTTGTCGCCCTCCTGCAACTTCGTCAGTTGGACTATGTTGACGACTTCATGCTCCCAGCACATGCGCCAGAAATCGCCGATGGTGGTGTCGAGCGGCGCCTGGGCAGCGATGAACGTCGGCCCGTCTGGTATCTAGAAATTGAGGTTGTAAGGAGCATGAGGATATGGCCTCACCTTGCACCAATTGGCGTGGATGTAATCGCCTTCGCGCTCCTTATCTTCAATGGTGAGCTTGACGCGCGTCTCGTCGAGGCAGGGGATGTCCATGTAGCGGTTCTTGACGCGGTTCGCTTCAAACGCCGTGGCCGCTGGGTTGGCCGGCACGTAGGTCTTCAGCTCTTCGAACTGCTTGCACAAGTTGTCGATGCCTAAAGCGGCAATTACAGGCTTGGCAAGAAAACATATCCTTCTAGCTCTATCACTACGAATTTAAATATTACCCAGGCACTTCGTAGACCGAATGAAGTCGGTCGTCGACGCCAGCACGTCGGCCTTGCTTCCAGTGACGGCGATCGTCGCGCAGAACAACTCTGAAAAAACAATAAAATCAGGCGAAAACAATCTTCGTACCTTTCTTTTTCTTCTCCGGCGCTTCTTTCTTCTCCAGTGTTTCTTTCTTCTCCGGTGTTTCTTTTCTGTCCTTCTTTCCGGATTTTCCCTTGGCCCTCTGCGTCTTCTTGTCGGGCGCGATGTTCGAGTCGACCGAGCAAGTCTTCGACGGCACCTTCTTCAGCACCTCGGGTGTTGATCGCGTCCTTTGAATTCCTCCGCTTCCACTTCTTCCTTTCTTCAGCTGCACCTCCACCGAGCTCTTCTTCCGGGTTGCGGGCGGCCGCTTTGGCGTCGTGCCGGTCGGGGTCGTGGCGGGCGGCGGGGTGGTCGGGATGGGTGGCGGCGGCTGACCATTCAGACCGATGGTCGTCATCGTCGATTTGCCGTCGGCCGCCATGTTGCCTTTGGTAAAACGACTACAGACGCGCCGCGATCTATTTTATATCAGGGTTTCAATGTAAATTTTGTCAGATATCCGGAAATCTAACGACCTTGCATGGTAAATTGTATGCAAAGTAAAGTAGATCTACTACTAGGAAACTAGGGAGATAACTCGACTAAAGTAAGTCGCATCCAACCGTGTCTATATGTGTGTCTTCCCAGAAAATCAAACGAGTACAAGCCATCAAGGACTATAAACAATTTATGACATTTCCAAGCAAGAACAATGTTTATAAGGAAACGATTGGAAAATCAAGAGCAGAGATCACGAATCCGGAACACGTAAGATAAATGAAAGGGGTCAAGCGGGCATCTATGCGAGTTTTCTTGCTTCACGATCCTCATCCTCAAGGTAGCGGTACTCAAAGCAAAAGTCCTCGCGCTGCCCGTAGTTCCATGCCTCGCAGTCCCAGTAGATGTACGTACCCTGAAAATGAGTGTTGAACGCAATTCGCAGAAAAAGAAAGCTAATATTTTTATTTAAAACAATCCTTACCTTTTCAAACGTGTCCGTGATTTCGTGAGGTGTGGTTTTGCGCTGGAACCACGTGTGGTAGCCATAGTGAAACCGCCATGAAGCCTTCTTCAACGCCCTCGCCGATAGCAGCTGCGCTTCTGTGCCCTAAAAATAAGAATCAATAAATAAACAATTTTCTGACCTCCGAGTAGTAAAAGAGGAAGAACAGCGTCTCCGGCGCGAGACGATCGAAATATTCAGGGGAGCTGGACACATGCGGCGGAGCAGACGGGAAGTACGTCGGGATGGTCGTTGGCCGCGAGGAAAATTGGGGCCTAAAAAGTGGATTACTATAAGATACGCACAAAAATCATCCTTCACATGCCCAAAACTAAAACATACGTTGACTTGTTCCAATCGAATTGAATCGGCCGGCGGGCCATCTGAGCTTCGATCGCCTTTAGCTGCAGGACCAAGCCCTCGGTGAGCGAGCCAGGGCCAAGCGGACACGCGCCCAATGAAGGAGTAATCTGATGCTGAAACAAATATGACTAACGCTAAACAACCAACTAAGATTAAAGACCACAAAATACAAATATCACTTGGTTTTGGTTTCATTCTAGCTTTACAGAGAAAAAAACTGGGTAAAATCTTTAATCCCCACAAGCCAATCTGAAGACAAAACCGACCAGGCGGGCCTTCAAGTTCTCTGTCCGCTCCGGCTTCGACTCGGTAGAACGACCCAAAACGCGATCAATGGCCGCTCTCTCCGGTGCTGAAAGAAGGCAATGGAAGGAAAGAATAAAAAAAATACGTGGAATACGGAGGCGTTTTTGTTTCACTGGTTCGGGAGCCTTGGGAGAGAGCGCCATTTCCGGTCTCATGTCATCATCGACTTGTACACTTGCGGCTGGCGGCTTAGGGGGCGGAGGGGGAGGAGGCGGCGGAGCGCTGGTGAACCCAGTCACCTCGTCGGACACCGATGGAGAAGACATTGTGGGCAACGAGTTGGCTTGACTCCCCATCCGTGACAACGCTTGGATCTAGAAAAAAAGGGATAATTGAAAGTAAAGTATTTCCCCACAATAACGCCATCGACGGCACTATTTGCCTTCGGGATTATCGGCGTGGCGGCCGGGCTGGCACGGACCGGAGATCGTTGACTTCGCGCCCTTGATTCGTGGCCACGGTGAGGAGTTCTGGTTCCGCAACGACCGGAGGCGGCGCTAAATAACAACATTATTCAGAGGAACAGATGAAATCAACGGCTCTGAACTGATCTAGCTTACGCATATCAGGTTACATTTCCAGCGTTTTATGATGTATTTTTAGTTAGTAGGTTTTTGCCATCATCAAAAACAATTCAAAAATTTCCCAAAGATATAATTTGGTCTTTTTTGAGACCGATGGGACGATAGGGCCCCCAAGCTAATCAGCACGAAATCAACGTACCGATAGGCGCCTTCGGGGCAACAGAAGGAGCTGGCGGCGGCAAATTCTCATTAATCGTCGGGTATTCGGTAGTAGAGATCTGGATCGCAGGTGCAATCGGCTCGGCCGAGACCTCGGTGATTGCGCGTTCGCTTAGCTCTAAATGGAATTTTCACAAAATGTTGTGAGGGCTGTTACCACTCGCCGACGAGCACTTCACGCCAGCCACAATGGAATTGTAGGGAATCGTTGGCGCAGAGACCGTGGGGGTTGGCGATGAGCGGGACTCATCGGCCGCCTTGCTTGGCTGTGGCTCGGAGATTATCCTGAAAAAGGTCAGAAATAAATGAGAAGCCGTAAACGTCTATTTCGCCGATTTCCGCTTATCCCTGCCAATGAGGTGCCTATGTAGCAATGTAAAAACATAGTTACCAAAAGCGGCAATGGGCCATTTAGTATCGTCAAAAACCTACTAATTTGTCTTCCAAATCAAAATAGTTTTTTTTAAGTTTTTCATGTAAAAAATAGTCAAAACTTGTCCGGAGTGATATAGCGTGTATAAACAAAACCAAAACCAGCTAAATAAACATAAATTGGAAACGCAAGTTCCTTACCTTGTGACCGGCTTTTTCGTGGGTGGCGTTCGGGTCATCATTGGCGACTGGGAGCTGCCTCTCCGCGATCGGTTTAGCCCATCATCGCCTGTCCGCTTCATGTCGAACGCTATACACAAAAATATAGTCAAACTAAAAAACGCTTACAATTCTGCAACTCATTGCACGACGTTTCGGAGAGATTGAATATATTTCCCAATGTAGCAGCCAATTGATCGAGTCCCAGTTCTTCATAGGCTGCTAAACAGAAAAATTCCTCGAACGATGCGCAGAATTACCTTCCGGATCCAGCGTACTTGATGCGCCGTTCTGGCCATCATATTCGGGATCGAGGCTCTGGACATATAATTCCACCTGATCCCTTAAAATCTCCATCACAGACCCTGGCTTCAGCGTCTCATTGTTCAACAGCCGCAGACAAAGCTAAAAAAAACAATGGAGAGTTGGAGAGTAATATTCACCTCGAGCTGTTGCATGTGGAACGACACCCGTTCAAGATGCTTCCGGCTTTCTTCAACCCGCAGCAACATGGCCTTCTTGTCGTCTTTGCCTTTCCGCCCCTTTTTCGGGGCTGAGGCTTCGGTTTGTTGAAGGCTTTCGATGGTGGCCTCTGTTCGATCGACTTCCAGCTTTAAATCAGCGATCATGGCCTGAAAAAAAAACAAAGAAAATAAGCCGAACACAGGTAAGCAACGATGAGCGCCAGGCATGCGAAAACAAAGGCGGTGCGGTTGCTTCAGTGTTGATGGCTCATCAATTTTATGATATTATTTCATGCTTATAAACAAGGTCTAATAGATTGTTTTTACATGACCACGTTTTCATTAACAAAAACTATCGCTGTTTTTTATACATGCCGTTCTCCGTCCGGATTTCTCCGGATTGCAGTGCAAAAATCTGTTGGGACAGTCTAGCAACGCGAAAATATTTACCTGAAACCATTCTACGGATTCTTGCTTCTCCTTTTCGATGGGGTCCACCTTCTCCTCGGCGCAAAGGCCCACTTTGGAGTGGGGTTTCGTCTTATTCTCCCGTTCGATGTCCTTGAACTGTTCCATCCGTTGCTCGATGAGTTTGCGGTAGTCCAACAGCTTGTCTTTCTCCTTCACGTCGGGATTGTTTAGCCACCCTTTCACGCTGTCGCGAAACCTAAAAAAGGTTGGAGACAAAACGCCCAACAAAGTACCGTTGCAACTTTTTGATTTCCTTCTTCAGGTCATCCTGCAGCTTGTCGCGTTGATTGTCCGAGTTGGCATCGAGCAGCTTGCTCATGATGTCTTGAAAATCATCCAGTCCCTCATCGATCTAAACGAGGTGAAAACGCTCGGCAGAAAGCAGCCTACCTTTTTAAATGTCTTGTCAATCTCGGCGAGAAGCTTTCGCTTTTCAGCCATTTTTCTAAAATGGAGAAATATTATCGGTGGGAAACGAGCGAGAACAAGGTCGAGCGGGTGTCACATTTGTAAAATAGGTATTAAAATTTCACAATAAAAAAATACTACAAAAATCGAGCCGAAAAAGATAAAAAAGTGGGGAAAAGATTCATTCTGCCGGGTCGGCGAAGGTCCCGCAGCGAAATGTATTGTAGCTACAATAGCACTACATGTAGTGTAAAGTAGGAACTGCGTTCTATTTCCCGATTATTATTTTTATTTTTGTTTGCTCATTATTGCTTTTAAAATGAAAGTTTAAAAGGAAATGTTCCTTTTCTGATCTTTTTTTTATGTAAAACTCTTCGTTTTGGCATTATCTCCGAGATTTCTTCAGTTTTCGAGAAAGGGAATAAAGTTGGCGTTTTTGAAGTTAGCTTTATAGATATAACTTTCGTTTTTTTCGTCTAAGATTATAGTTTAGATACCATTGATGGTGGACGAGGGCGATTACTTCGACTTTGGACCCCCTGAGCCAGAGCGGGTATTAAAATGTTGTATTTGTCTATACGTTTTTAGCTCGAACGGCTTCGTCGCAGATCACGGATGCCATCGCCGCTGTGGACAAATTGATGTATGACGTTGAAGACAATATCGTAATCATTGCTTGGATTTATTATAATCATTTTCAGCGCCACGTCCAATCGAAAATCGATGATCACTTGCGCTCAAATGTGAAGGCTGGACTTGAGCACAAGATGCCGATCCTGAAATTCATGCCCCCGTACTTCAAAGGCATCGCTGGCAACGTAATTCATCTTAAAATATTTTTTATATGGATTTAGACGTATCCGCTGACGGAGGCCGGACAGCGAAAAATTTCCAACAAGCTCTTCGACACACTTCACAAAGAGAACAAGCGCTGTAAGGGAAGGCGTTCCGGTTCTTTGTCATTATCGGGGTGGTGGGAACAAATTTTCTAGAAACGCTTAATAACTAAAGACTAAGTGTTTTATAATGTCTCGTAAAATAACACTTTATTTCAACTAAAAAAACTACTTAAAAATTTTTTAAAAAGTCGATATTTTACTCGATAAGTCCGTAATTTATGTATTTTTATTAAAAATGTTGTGAAGTTTTTGCTTTTAGGAATAGTGAAATCCGTTTAGAAACGCTTCCGCCATTTATTGTTTTGACAAAATCCCCCCCCCCCGAACCTTCGATCTGGGAAGAGCTTTTCCTCTGTTTAGGGGACCAAGAAGGAAATCTGGCTCTTGCAAGAATCCGTCTATGAAGAAATCCGGCGTAGTTTGTCGACGGAGTTGGAAACCAAGTAAGCTTGTACTGCGCTGATGAAATCTTGAAAATTCAGGCGTCGGCTTCTTTTGGAAAAGATCCGAAATTCTGGGCAAGAGACTTCACGCAAATGTGTGACGCTATGGAAGGACGAGGTGGCCTCGAATGACTGCGGCTTAATCACCTGCGGTTCGGTAAATGTGGCCTCGTATTATACTTTTAGTACGGCTGATGTTTCGGAAACTGGACTTGGAAGAATCCTCTACGCGAAAATCAACTGGAATCGCATTGTAAGCCACGTCTTTGTAGGGTTATGCATATGAGGCTTCCTACGTTATTTTATGGGAACGGTATCCGTTCTGCTACGGATTGTCGATTGCGCTGGCAGAATATGTATTCTCCGGAATATTAACAAGCAACCATGGAGCGAGGAGGAACTTATGTAATTTTTCTTCGATGCAGCATGATTCCTTTTAGGGATCTGTACAAGGCCTACAAAAACAAGGAGGATGAGCAGTGCTGGAAGGATTTCGCCGAGTCTCTTAACACTGACCGCACGGCTTTTGATGTGTTCAAAACCATCCGACCGACATCCATTTCGCTCATTGCTGGTTGGATCTTTTTTGTAAACTTAAGATTATTTTAGTGCGATGCCATGGAGCAATGAGGAAAATGACCTCCTTCTTTATCTGGTGGATAAGCACAAGGGAAGATGGCCGGAAGGTAATGGCCGCCCACTATTATTGTTGCACGAAACTTTTTGGTGCTGGACCGTTAGCGTTTCTTTCAGTAATCCACTACGGACCGATTACAAAATATAAAAAATTTATGGCATTTACAAGGTTTTTGCTGCGAAAAATCTCTACAAAGTTTCGCAAATTTTAGACTTGAGCAAAATGTATGACAAGGTCAAAACTTTTCCCGATTTTCAAAACTGTAAACTACCAAAAACATTACAATAATACACTATTTATTATTGACATGGAGGTATAGACGGTAATATTTCCCCTGCTAACGGTCCAGTACCAAAATTTTAGTGTCGAAGCACATGAAGGGTCGCTGAAGTGGCCTGTCGTGATCATTTCGCGGTATACTTGGGCGAGCTGGCTTATCTTCCATGGAGTTCGTAGAAGACTACGTATGGTCGATAGATAGTTGTGTACTTTTTCAGAAAATTCTGAACGGTCTGCTGCGCCTTGGCCCGAAGAAATGGGTACCAGATCTCGAAGCAAACATCCGGCAAGCTGTAACCCATTGTCGCAAACGGTCTTTGGAACGTTAATACTGTTGAAATTCATTTTAAGGTGGTGCAGCGAGCTCTCCCAGCGCCAAAAATTCGAAAACTGGGATGAAGAAGAAGACCAAGCGTTGAAGGTTGGCGTCAGTGTTTATGGAGGTAATTTAGATTACAAAATTTTGATTGTTGCGTTAAGATGATTGGGGCCAGATTGCCAAGGCTTTCGACATGGAGCGAAACCGGAAGAGCTGAGGGAGCGGCATCGGCTAATCGAAACCCTGGAATCATGGGTGAGGTATTTGAGGTTATTTAGTGTTTCCCCGAAGTGGGGTCCGGAACTTTTCTGGTATAAAAAGAGGAAGTACGGTTTTTCTTATGCCTAAAAACCGCCCGCCAAAAAAAAAAATCAATTTCGGAACAAGTTTTATTTTTTTAGTGAGTTTTGAAAGTTGAAATTGCTTGAAATATCAAAGAATTTTACTAAAAAGTCTTTGAATATACTACGAGATTATTGTGCGCTTTTCAGGTTATGTTGGCTGAAGAGCAGCTGTTTGACCCGAAAAGGAGCCAATACTTGGCCCAAATTGTTTGTTCATGTGTTCTCCTCTATGCTTTGTTTAGGAAGAATTAGCTGGCAAAACCTGAGGGCGTCCGGAAACTCCGCAGAAGGGCCAAGCTGTCGCGGAAGATCCGAAGGCTGAGCCTGACGTGGCCGCAGAAAACCGCAAATGATGCTGAGGGAAAGACGCACACGGTTCCGGGCCAGGCTATCGCGGAAGATAAGAGAGTACCTGGATATGACCGCCGAAAACCCCAACGAAGCTGATGCCATCGCGCAGGTCCTGGACGGAGGCTGAGGTCATCTCGCAGGTCCCGGACGAGGCACTGATCATCGTCGACGACCCGGACGAGACTGATATGACGGCGGAAACGCCAAATGACGCTGAGATCACCTGGGAAGACCTGGACCTGACTTTCACCATCGTGGAAGACGCGGATGAAACGATATCATCGCCGAAATCTCCAGGGACACTGAGATGAGCGCCAAAAGCCAGGGCGAGGCTGAAGCGATCGCGGAAAACTCGGAGGACACGGAGCTGATCGGAGGCGAAGCCGATGGAGATTGACGATAAGATTGAGTCGCCCTGAAATATCCGATCTATTTGTCTGATCGCAGTGCACTAATAATCTTTTGACACCACGTTGTGGTTTTATTTTTCAAAAAAGGTGCCCTTGGACTTGGGACCCAATATATTTCTACGCTGTTATTAATGAAGACTAAATGACGTGTTCCGATGTGCTGTATGTGTGCTCCATTTTGGATTTTCCGGCAAGGGTTCTAGTTCCTTAGCAAGGGTCCTAACTACATATTTTTGCTGTTTTCCAGATGCTAGACAATGTAATCGAAACACTAATTTGGTAGCATTTTTCTTTTTTTTTTTATAGATGAAAAGCTCATATCAATTACTAGAATTTTCGGAAATTAAGCTTTGCTCCAAAATGTAAAATTTGGACCAAAAATGGAATATTTTGAACGCTTCATAGCTTTTCTGGGTATAAGGTCGGCTACGCGGGGAAAATTTTACGCGGGGACGGACTGTTGGGGCCGGGCTAACTATATTTTTGCGCTTCTTTTTGCTACAAACAAAACTCTTAGTATATTTTTCGACGCCTGTCGAATGGCACTAAAGAAATTTTGTAAAAATGTCGAAAATGTCGAAAACTTGATTTCCTTTTATGTCCTCCATTGAAACAACGTTTAATACTTGTTTTTGTTATAACTATTTTTATATTACATTATTTTGAGCTAAAAATTAAAACTCTTAGTATATTTTCGGATGCTCTATCGAATGGCATCTTTAAAATGTCGAAAAAAATAGCGCGAATATCGAAAAACAGCCGCTCAAACCGATTTTCAAAGCTTATTTTTGTATTTACCGTAACTTTTTTATATTACACTAATTTTCGCTAAAACAAAAACTATTAGTATATTTTTCGATGCTCTATCGCGTAGTGCCATTGGGAAAATTCCGAGAAAATAACCAAAACATCCAAAAAGGCCTGCCTCCGCCCTGTCCCCCCGCGTGGAAATTCTTCCCCCCGGTAACAGACACCTATACCCTTTTCTGTAATCGAAAACTTCCCTAAAACTATACGTTGAAGTTCAAAAAATCCCATTCGTTTATAAATCGACGCCAATGGTAGTATGGCTTTTTCTAGGTCAGTACAATATCGGGCAGATGTAGTTTTCCCCATCATCTTGGGTGAAAGGTCAGCCTAAATCGAGTTATCGACTTGGAGTTTAGCCGCCGGTTATATCTAAACGGGCTACAGCCGCGAATGGGACTGCAGGGCAAATAGGCAGACCGGCGAGATTGCTTTTTTTTCGGGGCCGGGGGCCCGCGCTTGGCCCGTCTGTTCTTCCCCCCCATCCTCATCTCCATTCCAGTATCTATTTCCCTCCACAGCGGGAACGGTGCCCTTTTCTTTCCTTTCCCGAGACGTGTTGGCGCCTGTTTTCCTCCGCTGAACCCCCCATATTATATATTTTTTCTGTTGGCTTTTCAAGGCCATTTACCTGTAGACCCCATGCAAAAGTGTCGTGCTGGGTTGAAAAGTCCTTTGTGAAACCTCTCTTACACGTTCTTAAATCTGTTTCCCTGAAATCTTAATCCATTGCTTTTTCCAGGTCAGGCCGAAATGCCGACGATTTCGGAGGTGAAGCTCGACTTCAAGGATGCTTCGCGCTGCAGACTGAAGAGGAGCACACTATCCTCACGATCCGAGGTCACCGGAATATGTAAGCCGACTGAGATCGACTTTAATCTGTTGATGGTTTCTAGAGAATACACGTTCAAGAATTCGAAAAGATCATTCTGGGATCCCGGTGATCAGCTCGAACATGGACATTCTACAAAAACTGCTTTCTCCGTCATACAAAACTATTCTTGACTGGAACTTTCGAATGTCACAGATGCGCCTGAGTGGGTAACATGTTTCGCTGACAAACTGCCGTTGTCATACGTGGCTGAGTTGAAGTGATCAGAATCACCAATGCCTTTTGTGGTAACACGGAATGTCAGGCGGCCAATATGGGAAAGCACCTTTTCAAGCCATACGTCGTTCAACTCCACTCTCGTGGACAATATTCTAATAAGGTTCGTCTGTAGTTTTATTTTTTACCGTGATGCGGATAATGCCAATGTTTGGAGTTGATATCGCAATCTTTTGTTTATAATTTTATTTGAAGCGATGCACGATTGTGAACGATTCCTGAGCTGGGCTTCATCTGCGTCGACGTGGCCAACGGATACGCGCAGATCTTCGTCGACTTTATTAGGAAGGGAGTGGACGGTTTTTGGGTTCTTATTTTTGTTCGGGGTACGCGAAGAGTTTCGGGACACACCATGATGGCTGGAAACGTCGTCACCGGCGAGATGTGCGAAGAGTTGATTTTGACGGGGCCGACGTGTCGTGAAGGTGTGTGTATTTATTTGCCGTCAACTCAGACACCGTCGGAACGGGCTGTGGAACCTGTGAAGACGGCATTTAGTAAAATTCTGATTTGCTCTGAGCGTAGGGAAATAATTGGTGACGTAATGCAAAAATTTATGACGCGAAGTTTCAAAGTGCCGCTGTAGAAGTTACTGGCTATTTTACAAGGTTTTTTAGACGTATAGCTCAAGTATTATTAAATTAATTAACATGAATTGTTATCTTTAAGGTTGGTATTGGCCCCGGCTCTGTCTGCACCACCCGCAAGAAGGCCGGCGTCGGCTACCCGCAACTGTCGGCGGTGGTCGGGCGTGCGGACGCAGCCCACGGATTGAACGGGCACGTCATTTCTGATGGAGGATGCACGAATCCCGGCGACGTATCCAAGGCGTTCGGCGGAGTGAGTCACCGTTTTGTGGGCTCTATTTGGAAAATTCCTTATCTAGAGATCCGTGTGTTGATGCATTAGGCCAAGATAAAGTAGTAATGGTATCGCAAAAAGTCTTATCAAATTCCTAATACCAGAAAACAGCGCTAAATAATGCCCTACGAGGCACTAGCTTTTGATTTTGTCATGTAGAATCTCACAGCCAGTTTCGGGATAAAAGCGTCGGAAATGCCAAATTTCTGGGGTCAATGAATAACTCCCCTATTTTAGGTGCCGATTTTGTGATGCTGGGTGGAATGTTTGCCGGCCATGACCAAAGCGGTGGTGAACTGATCGAAAAGGATGGAAGGTAGAGTGCATTTGAAATTTCATGTATCTAACTTCATCTTTAGGTACTACAAGATGTTCTACGGGATGTCCTCCGACACGGCGATGAAGAAGTACCACGGCGCCGTCGCCGAATACCGTGCCAGCGAGGGCAAAACGGTACAGATGCCCTACCGGTTTTGTTCTTGGGTTATGCAATTTTTATTCTTCTCGTTCCAGTGGAGACGTGATGAACACTGTCCAAGACATTCTGGGCGGCATTCGATCAGCATGCACGTATACGGGATCAAAAGAAACTGAAGGTGAGGATTTGCTATTATGTTATGTCTCCTGGGTGTATACCTTTTTGGCGGTTCTTGGGTTTCTGGTTCTTTTTTTCTAGATATACCGAAAAAGTATAAAAACATTGCGTATGGACTTACTCGTGTTTCCCCATAACGTTCGGATATACCTTCACGGACCAATGAGATCGGGTCTTTTAGTGCCATCCTAATATCATAAATTTAGGAGTTGTCGAAGCGAACGACATTCATCCGCTGCAGTGCCACGACCAACGAGGTCTACACCCAGTTCGAGATCGACGCCGCTCGTCAAGAACAATTCTACTCAACGCATAGGCCCCAATTACGTTTACCCCCATTTTTTTTCTCGTCATTCATCATCGACATGTTTGTTATTTTTTTAACCAACCTTTTTATATGCTCTCCTTTTGGGTCCCAATAAATTTTGTTCGCGGATTATGG